GGTGCCTGCAATGCTTCTTTAAGGGCCTTGCCCCTCGTCAGCCACCCTGCACCGTCAGATCTTGTACGTGCCCGTGACAGACGGTTCCTGAACGTAGCTAGATAACAATCCTGCTGTTCAATGTGTGGCGCAGGGCTTCTCAAATCACCCAAAACACCCTCAGCAGTAAGTTTTTCTGCCCATTTTTCAAATGTTTTAATTTGTTTTTCTGACTCCTTAACAGAATGAGTGTTACGACGCTTGTTTTTTCCAGCCTCGATATAGGCATATAGTCTCCTGCAGGCTTCTCTTTTACTTATTCTCTCTCTCTTACTTAATCTCTCATATATCATCTCTCATAAGTGTTTATTTTAAGGATACTCCCGTTTCAGAAGCACAGCTATAACCGACATGGAGTTTATTGTTGTGCCACTGACCGGTCTGACCAATGCATCCAAATGCAGACCTTAGGTGGCGCTAATCACACAAAGTACCCCGAGGGCGCAGACTTTTTCAGAGAGCCAGATCAGGACTCTCTACAGGCACTCGAAACTTCATAGAGCCTATCAAACTCCAACAAACTCCATGGAGTTTATCAAACTTTGACAAACCAAACAAGGTTTATTGAACTGTCAAACACCAACACCTTTCGACACATCCAGACGTGCAATTTTTGACACGTTTCCTAGGAAACACCCGGACGTCCGTAGGCCTAACCATTCATGCAAAGATTGGAGCCTCACACCCTATTAATCACGTATAATAACCATATAGGCTTCTGCAGCTATCACTAAAGTTACTGGGTACCACAGAAAAACTCTACATTTATTCCTCCGCAGGTATTTCAAAGTGACGCAACAATTTTCACGTGATGGTAAAATCAGCCACACCGTTGTTTTTTTTTTTTTTATTTAGTCAATAATCAACCCAAAATTTATGCACGGGCTTTAAATTGACCAGAAGTAACTTATTTTTAGTGCAAAAGTAGCGTTTTGCGTGTTTATAACACTCTCGGACCACTTCCGGTTAGCGATGCTGCTAACTCTTCCTGCCCGCTCCCCTTCCGTACACCAGCAAAAAAATGCCACGTTTATAAATGTTTACATCCAATAATTACAATCACAAAATCACGTATCATACTGTAACATTCTACTGCCTTTCAATTTTGCTAAACTGCGTGCACCGGATTGAACTCTGAACAGACTGTCAATCCTTAAGGGACACGCAGAAATTTGATTTAAGAAGTGTTTTGCTTACCTGATGAGATCCTAATAGCCGGCTAGCACAGTCTGCACTGAATCGGCCACTTGCTGCTGTGTTACTATTAAACAATAATAAACGAGCCATCACTTCTACAGACGGGAGCCGCACGGTCACGGCACCAAGCTGTTGTATCATGAGCTGTTGCGGGTCCCTCGAGCTGCTGCAGCTAGCTGTTGCTAGCTGTGGGCCTCAGGCCTCACCTCGGACCCCAGGCTCCAGCTCATGCAGCTCCTGGCTCGGACCCCCTCAGAAGTAGTAACTCACACCAGTGGCAGCTCCAGAGATATTTTTCTGCAGGTGCTAAGGGTGGGGGCTAAGCATTTTACTAAGGGTGCTATGAAAGATCATTTGTTCTTTCATTTCTCAAGGTCAAATTGTCTTTACTGTCATTCACACCACATGTGGTACATGAGATGAAACA